AGACACACAATGGCCAATCCAATCTTTGTACGTGTGTGTAATGTACAACCACCCTCTGGGCTCGAATGTTACATACAGCAGAACGTTGGGCAGACTCCCGGGACCGTGTGTACTTACTGCGTTTGCGCTGCGCTGTTCTACGCTACGCTACAGCTCAAGTCAAGTGCACAGGCAATTCTCCTTTGTCGCCAGGGCACCAACTCAGGCTCCAGTTGCGGGCAGGGGAGAGCACCAGCAGGGATGGGCTAAGCAAGGATGAATGGTAGAGGGAGAATGTGCCAAGAAAGGGTCTTTTCTTCCCTACCTAGGTCCCTACCTTATTTCCTCGTAAGGTACTTGTTGGTCTGGCGAGCGGCTCCTCTGTCGTATAGGGCGAATTGCATATAACGAAGTGGATGAGGAAGCGATGTGGCTGATTGGATAACTCCAATACAGATGGTCGTCGATATGGACGACAGTGACGTGAGGAGGCTCTAACGATGCCGCCTCATTACCAAATACTAAAGACAGAGTAATTACTGTAGAGGATGGAATAGATCAGAGGGGGAATAGAAAGATGAGGTCAGAAAAGAGAGGGGAGGTGAATTTGTGACAGGCCGGGTATGTGTGCCTGACTTACTGAAGTCCCCATGAGCGATGATCCAGGGGAGTTTCAGAGTCACAGGGATCAACATCAAAGGGCAGCAAGTGAGTGGTCCCTGGTTGGGCCCGGCCAAGTCAAGGACCAAGTTACCTGGCAACAACCAAATCAAGATCCATAGCGAACATTCATCATCATCAACACATCAACACGATAATTGTGGCACACGAGTTATTTAACGCGCTTCGCAAACGTTAAGTCTGGAGATCGCCAACGTTGGGCTAATAGGTACTAAGGTATACGTACCTACCTATATAGGCCGTTGAGATATTCTCTCTCCAAAGCTGTAGGGCAAGATAGTACTTCGATAGTGTCAAGCTCCGGTCAATCTTTGCCGTGTACTCCGTCCGCACCGCATAATGAACAAGATGCTTACAATGACGAAGCTTGGGCACCTCGATGCATTTACTAGCAACATACGAATAAAGTACAAGTAATGGCTCTCATCATGCTATCATCCTGGATGCTGGAGATTGTGAAGGTGCAGAACGAGACCCTTAATTCGATTTCCCCATCCACTCCAGACTCATCAGCCTCCACTCACACTCATTAGGCTCTTGGTGTCGACCGTGTTAGTGGCAGATCGGCCTGTGGTTGCGCAAGCTGTTCATTGTTGTGCCGAGAGTGATGACGAGACCGTTTCCCTTGTGAAGATTCCAATGCGTAGCAGATCTGCCCTCGCAGCGCTTCCCGATTCGGTAGCATCCCTCGTGTCTGAAGGACGAATAGGGCTTTGTCCGCCTGTGGTCCAAGAGTTCAAAGGATCGAAACCCCTAAACCTCTAGGGATAGGTGCAGAATGGTGGCTTGTGAGTGCCGGGCTGAAACACACACGTCCCCTCAAACTATCGGCTACGGCCGTAGCCCGTTATTCCACCGTCCAGAACATCGGAACGTCCAATGTCTGGTATACAGTACTCCGTAATGGAGTTGCATTTACCCACTAAAGCTTGACTACCTAGATATGTCGCAACTCTCCCGATGTCTCCCTTCCCTTATCGGAATATCTCACTGTTATTTCGTCTTGGGGAACATTCTTATCCACCCCTCGATGTTTCTCCTCATCAAGTCCCTCAAATCGGATCCTGTCTGTACTAGTTAGCTTAGCTCAGGAAAGTCTTGAAGGCTCTGAATCAAATCCTTACAGCAAGTACTCCGTACATACTTGGAGAGACTACTACATAGAGGCTAGTGCTGTACTAACGTTAGCATCTCAGGCTGGTGCTTGAATGGAACGTGGAGCTGGGCCCTTGGAGGCCCCTCTGCTGTGTACGAAACATATCCGTTTCTTCCTCAAGTTCTGATCGCTTCTCAAGACTTTATGGTACGATGGGACCTTCGTAGGCACCTTAGGTCACCAGCTGAGGGACACGTATGTATGCACTGGCGTACTATGTGAGTTGATCTTGTTAACAGTTAGGGAATTTATGGTTGTGTTTCAAGTACAATCGACTCGCGATTCAAGGCATAATACGTATGTAAGATCGTGAAGTGAATAGGAGCCATGGCAATATCGTATTGATTCAATTCGTGTCCCAGCCGCTCACTTATTTCCTCTCCATACGTAGTCTTAGCTTGTTCGCATGCAGTTCTCGTATGTCGCTAGCTTCGCAAATTCTCCGCGACAATAAATAGCAGCTCTCTAATAAGCGTCACTACGAGCCGAGGCGGTTCTCTTTTTAGACCTCGTATTGTAGGCAGTCTGTGTCCACAAAGCTTACATGTCCAGCAGGAGTGTGCTCCATGCTCCCTGTCACAGTGCATGTTTCGATGGCATGGCGCCTGAAGTGATCTTGCATTGCCAATACATTTCTCAATGAGACCGCGATAATGTAGGATGATCAAGCAATGGTTGGTATGAATGCAAATATGCAATTCCAGCTCGGTGGAGTCTGATCTAAGACCTAGGTAGCAACCACAAATATGATAATTCGTCTCTCTGAGGCACGGTTGCCAGTGGCACTCTCGAGCTATCAGAATCGGCCGTGAGGTTTGTGTCCAGGCGTGTGTGTGAGAGTTGACAGAGAGAGAGAGTCATAAATATCTTTATTAAAGTTAATAAAGCTTTCTTTATACTAAACTCATATAAAATACTTAGAAAGATAAATCTGAATGCGTGACCTCGCATGCCACGTCCACCGTCCAGATAAATCTGATGGACACACATATCAAATTCCTTGTACTGTTACAACATTGCCTCGTGATCACGGCTGAATACGGCAATATCTAACATCTGCATGTCTCAATAACATAGGTAGGCATCACATGTTTCAGTCTGCCAAGGCCTCTTGTTATTTGGAATATCGTTCTCATCAGCCCTAGGTTTAGGTTAAGCTATCTACGTCAGGGACAGGCCGGCCTTTAGGAGCAAGAAAACACAAGACCTAGCTTTAGGGTGATAAAATAAACTCTACAAAAGGTATCCTTAACTCACCCTAAATTTATACTAAGTTACCTAAGTCTTTTTATCAGTTAGGTTTAAGGTCCCAAGTTTTATTTCCTCCCCTAGGCAGGCTACCTACCTATGTTGATCTTATCCATAAAAAAATCTTATTGATGACTAACAACAATCGCCTCCATTCGGATTCTGCGAAGAATTTATACAGGCTACCTAGTCACTGTCCCAAGTGGCAGAAGGATGTAAACAGTTGCCAACCAGGCATGCTCACGCAGATAATTCGACGAACCATGGCTACAGAAGTCAAGCGAGTACCCATTCCCCGACGGGGTGTAGATTACCGTGGCAAGGTTGTCCTTGCGCCCATGGTTCGCTCAGGAGAGCTTCCATCAAGACTTTTGGCTCTCAAGTATGGCGCGGATCTCGTCTGGGGTGAGAGGCATAGCAAAAATATGTCAAGATATCATTTTCTAACTTCAACCCACAGGTCCTGAAACTGTGGATTACTCTATGATTGGAACTTCTCGTCGATTTGATGAAGACTCAAAAACGATAGAGTGGTATCGTCTCTCATCCCATGGCCAGAAGGACCCTCCTCCGGATGCCAAGGAGAGCATTATCTACAGAATGCTGCCAGAGGTTGAAAAAGACAAACTTATCTTCCAAATCGGTACATCAGATCCCGATCGTGCAGTAGCAGCCGCTAGGCTGGTGGCCGCAGATGTTGCCGGCATCGATGTCAACGCTGGTTGCCCAAAGCCCTTCAGCACTAGCGGAGGGATGGGTGCCGCTCTTCTCAAGACTCCAGATAAACTATGCGCTATTCTTGAAGCTCTCGTTAAGAATATTACCCCTGAATTTGAGATTGGAATCAGCGTTAAGATCAGACTCCTCGACACCGCAGCGGAAACAGAGGCACTCGTTCGCCGTCTTTGTGCGACAGGCATTACAGGACTAACCATCCATTGCCGGACGACACCTATGAGACCCAGAGAGCGGGCTATTAGAGGGCAGCTACGTATGATTGCAGAAGTCTGCCATGAGTATGGTGTTGCCTGCTTGATGAACGGCGACGTTGAGAATAGGGACCAAGGTCTCCAGCTCGCCAAAGAGTTCGGTGCGGACGGCGCGATGATTGCAGTCGCGGCTGAAAAGAACCCAAGCTGCTTCAGGAGTGCAGCAGATGGCGGACTGGCATCCTGGGAAGAAGTTGTCGATCATTATGTGAAGACTGCGATCGATGTTGACAACCGGTTCGGCAACACCAAGTTCCTGCTCTCAAACATGGTCCCTGGAAGGTCAAAATCTTACCAACCAATGAACCAGTCCAAGAATTATAAGAGCCTCTGCGAGGCGCTGTCCCTTGGAAAACACCTCGAGTCCGCTCGCATTATAGATAGCAAGCGCGGGCTGGATCAGCCTCTGCAGGGGAAAGCTGCCGAGAAGGCCGCAAAGAAGGCCGCGAAGAGGGCCAATGCACAGGCTGATTCACTGCCGGTGAAGTCAGAAAGAGAAAATGAACAGAAGCGCAAGCGGAGAATGTCTGATAACAGACCCGTGAAGCAGGTGAAGACATCTGAACCCGCACCAGTTGCAACGGCTGTTTAGGAAAAGGGTCAGTTAAACGGTACAAAGGTTAGGGAATGATAAGGGGCGTACGGTTGAGTTAGAAACCTTTGGGTTCGCATTACTTGGAGTTAAGGACACAGGCTCAGTGTACCATAGCCTGGGAACAGAGCACATAGAAAGCTACAGCATCATTAGATCATGAAGGAATAGTAGAGAAACGGTGGCAAGGAATGGTTTCTTTTTCATGAATAAAATAGGAAAGGAAGCCCAGCCTATTCAAAATACATACAGATATTTGTAGCTGGCGCTAAGGACCGGCCAATGATACAAATGGACAGTTTTTAAAGACTCTATTTAATAGTACATCTCATTTCATCTCGCTTTTTGAAATCCTTTATTTGCCCTTCTGGACCCAGCCCTCAACAGCCTCTCGTGCATCTGTCACTTTTTCGTCGACATAACGGACACCGACCTGGCTATGTGCCTTGGCAAAGCTGACGCTGTTGACGATACTCTCGCGCAGTCGGATGTGAGACTCGGCGATAACAGGGAACCTCTGCTCGTACTTCCAGGTCAGGTCGGAGATGTTGCGCATGGTGACAGGGAGAACGGTCCAGCCAGCGCCGATACCCAGGGCGAGGGGGAGCGAAGCGCGGAGGATAATGCTGCGATTGCGAGTAATGATGCTACCGGCCATAGCAGCGACCAGAACGTAAATGGCACCGGGCATAAGTTGCTCGCCGCTTTCACGGGAGGGAGCCAGTGAAGCGATGGTACTGGTGAAAGATTGCTCGAGATTGAAGGCTGAATCCATGGTCTCGTTGACCTTGTTCTCAGCAGCTACTGCGTACTTGTACAGAGCCAGGCGACCTCTACCAATATGGACGGCCAGCCGCTCAGTAGGAGTAGGCGAGTGATGCCTCTCCTCATCGTCGACTGGCTCAACGGGTGTCGCAGCAACGGGTGGTGGTGTTACAGGTGCGGGATTTGCTGTCGGGATATCGTAATCGTCGTAGATGGGTTTTCTCTATAGGGCTGTTAGGAAGTTATTCAAGTCCATTGATGCTCCATGACAAACCTTGAGGTCGCTGGGTCCTTCGGCGAAAACAGTAGCCGGAGCCAGTGCCATGCCGCCGAGGGCCATGGCCGCCAGCGGTGCCAGGGAGCGCTATACAGATCAATTAGCATGAAGGAGCTTATCTAGGGCTACGAAGTATTACTGACCCGCGAGAGCACCACTCGTGAAGCCATTGTGCGCTCAATTGACGAGTGAGTGGGTGAGAAAGACGTCACGCGAATTCAAGATGGACGTCGGATGCTCGTGAGCACAATCACCACTGTCGGAAAATCTAGGACGGAGGTTCTATTGGACCACTCAGAGTTCAGCTTCGAGAGGTTGACGGGATGACTAAGATTTCCAATCCCAGTACAGGAAGGTATACCTCAACCTACCTACCTACCTAGGTCGTACCTTTCCTACCCTACCTATCCCGTCTAGGCTGCTAGTTATGGGCGGAGATGCCCTATAAAACAAGGAAGGTGACAAGGGACGGATCCGAAGCCGGAAAGCCCGACAAGGCAGGAAAGTCGCTTCTGAAAGTCTTCCCCCAATATCTTTGATTCTCGATCTACGTAAAGTAAAGAATACGTAGTAGACACTACTATAGGTAAGCATACCTGAGGTATCTTATCAGCCGCATTTTCACTCCAATTTCTGCTACTCTTCCCCGCCGTTGGGAGAAAAGACGACGGTTTATCACTTCGATTGCTGTTGGATCATTCATGGGTTCGATCTTCTTACGTGCATATTTATAATGCTGAGTTCGAGGGGCAACCGCCTCTGGATCTGTAATAGATGTGTTCGACACACGACCAAACTTCCACAACGGCGATGGAACTCTATTGCCTCCACAGTAGCCCAGGTTATCTCCCCAAGCAGACCGGTCGATCATGCCGCGAGCACGAATCACGATGATACTGTTTTGCGCAACTTATTCGACGCCCCCACGGGCAGAACTTTCCCCAAGTTCAGCTTGAAGAAGAGCCAAGGTCTCTTCAAGAACCGATACCTCACCAGCCCTGATGGTTTCCAACAGTTCGCTCAGAAGAACCTCGAGCGAGCAAAAAATATCGTCGATAAAGTCCTCAGTGCATCCTCCGTACATGAGTACCGTGCGGTGGTCCGCGACCTTGATCGGCTTAGCGACCTATTATGCCGTGTACTGGACCTCGCAGATTTCGTTCGTATGACGCATCCAGATAGCCGGTTCCAGGAAGCGGCTGCCAACGCATGGGGTATGGTATATCAGTATATGAACCAGCTTAACACCATGACTGGCCTCAGTGATCAGTTAAGTCAGGCGCTATCTATCCCCGAAGTTACAAAGGTGTGGTCGGAAGAAGAGAGAACCGTGGCTTTGCAACTCAAGTTGGACTTCATGAAATCTGCTGTAAATTTGCCAAAGGCTTCACGAGACAGATTCGTGGATCTATCCTCGCGTATCAGCGAAATAGGATCGGCTTTCGCACAGGGAATGCAACCAGCAAGAAAACAAATTACCCTTCCAGCTTATAAGTTCTATGGCCTCTACCCAGGCATCGCAGCCACGCTCAAAGTACGACAGAACATCACGCTACCCACTCTGAGCTCAGATGCAATTGGAGCACTTCAAAGTGTACATGACGAGGAGACTCGCAAAGAAATCTACCTGGCCCAACGAACCGCGTCTCGGGAGACTGTTATGTACCTCGAGGCAATGCTGAAGCTGAGAGGTGAGCTCGCAGAACTTGCAGGCTTCGAGAGTTATGGTCACATGGCCCTGAAGGACCGCATGATGGCCAAGACGCCTGCGTCTGTAATGGAATTTCTCCTTGCTCTAAGAAATAACAATACACCGGTAGTCCAGGCCGAATTGAAAGAACTGGTTCTGAAGAAACGAGACAGACTCAACCTTCCAGACGTCCCACTCCAAGCCTGGGATAAAGATTTCTATATGGAGAAAATCAGAGTTGACCTTAGGTCTAGACAGCGGCAAGAGGATCAGCTCAACGCATTTTTTTCTGTCGGGACTGTCATACAAGGTCTATCAAGACTCTTTGATCGGCTTTATGGTATCCGTCTTGTGTTGCGGGAGACTCTTCCTGGTGAGACATGGCACCCTGAAGTGAAACGACTTGATGTTGTCACTGATAAGGGGCAACTGATTGCTGTTCTCTACTGCGATTTGTTTCATCGTCCACAAAAGTCCGGCAATCCCGCACATTTTACAGTCAGATGTTCCCGGGAGATCCTCCCCGAGGAAGTAGCAGAGATCGCTGCTGATTATGACAGCACCGGGCCAAGTTTCGAATCACCCGAGATGGCAGCCAACGATGGCATGGAGACTTCCTCTGCGGACGGTGTACTGAAGCAGCTGCCTACTATTGCACTTGTCTGTGATTTCCAGCCAAGTGGGAACTCCAAGGAGCCCTCTTTACTATCCTACCAATCTGTCGAGACCCTGTTCCACGAAATGGGCCATGCTATTCACTCTATTCTTGCACGAACTAGCTTCCAGAATGTCTCTGGGACTCGTTGTGCGACCGACTTTGCTGAGCTACCATCGACGCTTATGGAGCACTTCGCTGCTGATCCTACTGCCCTATCTCTCTTTGCACGTCACTGGAAGTCGGACCGGCCTTTACCTTACGAACTCGTTGCTGAGAGAATTGGGTTGACTAAGCGATTCGAAGGCTTGGAAACAGAGAACCAGATTATTCTTGCAATGGTAGACCAGGCCTACCATGCCTCAGATATGCGCGATGCAGACTTTAACTCAACCGCTGTTTTCCATGACATCAAGGCTCGCTTTGCCTATGGTCCTCGAGATCCGCCCAATACTTGCTGGCAGGGATTCTTTGGCCACCTGCATAGTTACGGAAGTACCTACTATAGTTATCTCTTCGACCGTGTACTTGCCGAGCGTGTTTGGCGTGTTGTGTTCAAGGCTGGTGAGGACGGAGGTGCCATCAATCGCGAAAACGGAGAGCGGTTGAAGGAGAACCTGCTAAAATGGGGAGGCGGCAGAGACCCCTGGACTTGTCTCGCCGATACGCTTCAGGATGAGAGACTCGCACCTGGTGACGAGAAATCCATGGCCTTGGTTGGAAGCTGGGGAATAAAGGATGACCACCACCCATAGGAACATAGAAATCATATACGAATCATCAAAAGTAACCAAGTAGATCAAAGCATGCAGATGCAAACAGGTCTTCGCACGCAGTACAGGACAAGTAAAGACATGAATTCGCGCCAGAATGGCAGTGGCAATGGCAATAGGGAGTCATGCATGGATGGTTCTTGGTTTATTATTCTCAAAAATGACCTTCAATCGCTAATTCAAAGTGACGCGCCGCTGTTTTCGCCCAAAAGTTCCTAGTACGCCAACCTGTCACACCCAAAACTGGGTAGGTATCCAATGCAGAATAAAAGAAGAGTAAAAGAAAAGAAAATGAAAGAAAATAAAATACAGAAACACAAACAATAGCATGCCACACGTTCCAAAGCGCTGCGCTATGTCTATCGAGACGCCGGTTGTAAAAGAGTAGATATGACAAGTAAATATGGTAAGGTAATAAATGAATGAGTGTGACGTGATGAGGAAGAAGGCGGTCGTCGTAGAGAGGTCATAAGTCATATGCCACCAGATATCGTGCTGCCAAGGTAGGTATTCTTGGATAAGAGACATGTGTGATTGGGCATGTTAGTTTCTGGATCGCCTCAATGGTGCAACGCGCTCTATGAAGAGGCGTAACTGGTTATATCACCCGATGAACCTGCTGTGAAGACTTCTGGGTGCCCCGACCCATGGTGAGTTGTGACAGGGAAAGGGTTCGTGCGGCCTTGGTTTGCGCCAGATCTTCCTTGTCCAGATCTTCACCGAACGCTCCGAAGCTATGTCCCTCTTCGCGAGGGGTTTCAAAAGTGTCAGAGTATTCGCTCTCGTCTCCATGGCCGGTTCCAATACCAGAGTCCTCGGGGTCGATATGTCGATTTTGCGATCTTGCCATGATCGCCAAGGATGCGAGATTATCGTCGTCATCGTCGTGATCAAACGCAGACCTGTCACCGAAGGATTTGGCTGTCGGAGGCGGATCGAAGCCGCTATTCGTGTTTACCGAATGAGACAAGATGCTGAGTTGGTGGCCAAGCGTCTTGACCTGGGTCTCTAGAGCTTCTCGTGCTGAGCGTTCGGTATGGATCAGGGCAAGGAGTGTTGTATAGTGGTCCGTGGTGAAGATTTCGGGGGTGTTCTTAAGAAGGCTCGGGAGACTGGCTGCACCACGAATTGTTGCAGTCGAGGTGGGACGATCTTTGTTGCTGTCACTCAGAATAGCCGAAGAATGCGGATCAAGCAACACACTTCCCCTCTGGCCTGCTTTTGAATAATTTGGGTAGCCGCCGGAACGACCAAAGCTCTTTCTATGGTCCCATCTGCTTCGATCAGCCTGATGATCTGGCAAATCCGTGTGGGCTCGACCCTCAATCGGAATTGGGGGCGCAGGTCGATCTGGTGGTCCTTGATTTGGCTGCCAGCCTGGAGCAGCATCACACATTCGGTCGAGAGCCTGCTCCAACCGATAGACTCGAGATTCGAGATTGTTTATCCGTGTTTCTAGGTTTGCTGCATGTGTGATTTTCATGCCTCCCACCTGCTTCATATCGGCGAAGGATCCAAAATTGAAAGGCTCTGCCTGTGTCTCTTTTGGAGCGTCTTCTACTTGCTGGGCCTGTTCGATTTCCTCCATGGCGATGCCCTCTCCTTCAACGGGGTTTGAAGACACTGGGGACATGAAGGTCGGGTCGTAACTCTCCCTCCAATATTTGATCTCATCACTGCGTCGACGAGTATGACCATGGCTTTCATCTGGTAGCCCTGATAAGCTCCGCGATCTTCGGCGTACACCCGGGAGGTCGCTGGTGATTGCACGGCCAATCTCGTGGGCGTTGTCGTCGCTCTGATCCTGCCGACTCTCCCGGCCATGGCTGCTAGCAGGCCGCGGCGAAAGGCCCGCCAGGTTGTACTCGCGCAATCTGGTCGCACTTATCCGGGCGTGGGCGTGCGATAGACCAAAGTCAGCGCTCAATGAGTTGCGCGCGCTCTCGATGGCGCGGACATCTTCTGGGCGGATAGAGTGGGATCTTAAGGCTCGATCAAATTCAGTGATGGGCAGGGAAGCTGATCGCTTGGATTCCGCTCCTGGGAAAGGTCGAGTCCGTGATCTTGGAGCTGACCTGTCTCTATGACTTAGACTAGGCACCGAGTCTTGGCCATCTTCACCCGTGGATCGACGGTATGGCCCGGGGCGCATTGGCGTGGAACCGGTTTCCGAATCAGTATTGTTGGAACTGTCGTTGCCGGTTGGCTTCTTTTTTCGATTGAAAAGCTTACCCAAAGCGCCCCGGAGAGTTGACTGCTTGCGTTGAGGGCGCTCCTTGTCCCTCGTGTCCGCGCTGACGAAGGAATGCCGCACATTGTTAGACGGTTCAGCCTTTTGCAGGCGACTTATTGTGCCAGGCTGTCGAGCATGCAAGGAAGACCTCGGCTCTTCTCTGAAAGCGTGAGGTCCATTACGACGAGGCTCTGGGAACGTGGGAGATCTGAAATCGTTGCGCGACGGGGTGGGCTCAGTGGCCTGGGATTCTTTGAATTCACCCTGGACAGGCGTAGCCATGTTGGTACCTGGGTTGCGAATAGGGAACTCGTCATCCAAAGAAGTCGAAATAGGGACAGGCCCAGATATCCTGCCGCGGATATTGGACTGCTGTATATCAACAGGCTGAGCAGTGGGAGCAGTGCTGGCTGCTGATCTCCACGGCTTCTTCATGTTGGAAACGTGAAGGAAGACAGCAAGCTGCGGATCGAATAAAGCAATAAAAACAATGGGAAAAAGGGTCTTAAGCGAAGGTAATAGAATGGAATGTCGGAGTGGAAGCGGTCAGAGATAGATACTGTAGATGGATGGCATGCCCTGGCGCATATTCATGAAGGAGTGCTCGTAAAACAGGCTTACAATCCGTGCGCTCATCTGAACAAGGGCAGCCTGGCCTATCATCCGGTTGATGAGCTTGGTTTCTTTGCGTTCAAGGGCGCATTAAGACACGGCGTGAAACAGCCAAACGAGTGTGAGAAGAAAGGAGGAGAGTTCAAATCAGTTGACAGCTTATGGCATCGCGGGACTAGGAAGGGGAAAAAGTCGCCCTTGTGGTCCGAAAAGGGCGAGCAGGAATCCAGGGACTGGGACTGACTGGAGAGGAGGAGGAGGAGGTAGAAGAAGAAGAAGGATGGGAGGACGAGAGGGTTTGAAACAAATGCATACAGACAATACCATAGCATAGCATACAGTACAGTACACATGGACTTGGAGCGGTCCGAGTGGGTGGGCGACTGGCACCTATTAATGTCGGCTCAGATACATATAGGCCTATCCGCACGTATGTAGACGGATAGTTAGACATGAGACGGACAGCATGCGAAACCGCGCTTGATGGTGCGGGACAGGGACCGTTTGCGGGTTCTTGAAGCGCGACGAGACGTTCAATGCCACGCTGGATGGATGACAAGGAGGGACGAAAGGGGGCCCTTGTCAGCTTGACATGCCTTACAAGGGGCCCTGACGGGGGAGGGGACAGCACCTACAGTCCACTGGTTCAGTTAGATAGGTAGGTAGGTAGGTATTCTTGGTAATATAGTGTCTATCTGGTAGACGAGCGGTGAATTGAATCAGGGCAGAGTGAGGGTAATGATGGATGGGCAAGCCGTTTGGACTACCGATGCTCCCAAACGTTGCCATCTGCCATGTGTATCGTGTACATACATATGGATGAGCCAGCAGAGCAGAACCCATCTCAAGAGCTCTTTGGTATTGGACTAGACAGGGGTTTGTTCACCTGCAGCTGTCGTTGCACCCTCTCTCTTGCAGACCCTTGTCGAGCAGACGGACGAAGCAGAATCGAGAACGACGGACATCTAGTTACAGAGGACTCGGGCTGATGCACCACTCCGCTGAGGACCCTGGACATGACATTTCAGTTGAAGCGACAAGACAAGACAAGGGTGATGCCTCAAGATCGAAACGCACGAGCCCATCAAAGATGACAAGACTGTCGTTGCCAAGAATGCGTGTTGAACTCCATTGACTGAGGACGTACTGGTAACACGACAATTGCCTCGATAGAAGGGCTATGGCCGACCATGCAGAGAGCCCGAGTAGAGTAATTGACTTATGTAGTAGGTAAGGTTAGTAGGTTAGAGGCTTCAACGGTCTGGGATCTAGGTATCTTGCCTCGTGGCTCGAGGCCGGGTACAGGGCATTCCGGGGCATTGTTGAGACAGGGGCTCCCTGTATGTATGTTTCTCTCGCCTAAGGTAGGTACTATCTACAGGTGCCTCCACCACGTACATACCTTAGGTTACCTTTAGTTGCGGAACGTGTCTGCATTGGGGTACTTTACCTAGGTACATACAAGAAAGGCACAGCAGAATTGAGCAGGTTTTTACTGAACAAGTCGACAAACCGAGAAATACTCGACCAACGTTAGTGGCTGCTTATTGGTTTGCGAGGCCATCGTGCCACTGCTTGGGTTGTGTTGCGTTGCAATTTGAGCGGCACGCGCCGCCTCCTAACCAAGTTGACTGAATAATGACCCTGAGCGGCAAAAGGTGGAAATGAATGAAAGCCAATACGATACAACGGGCACTGACTGTCGACACTAACCTACTAAACTAACGATGACAGTGCATCAAGTATGAGATGAGAATCAAGCTCATGGCGTTACAGATGGGCCACTCATAACCACTGACGTGGGAAAATGGTAGACACCCTCACTGCTGATACTGCCCATCATTCATGCAAGATGCCTCAGATTCGTCTTGAAACCTTGGTCGGTTGATTACCTTGATCGTCTTTCTAGACCATCTCGTCCTCAGTTGTTGATAATATCAACAGTCTCCCGTCTGTATGTACCTATAGGTAGGTATGCCTTCGCCTCGACAAGCACTAGACTCCCGCTATCTGCGGCCCCATGCGGTCGAAACGAAGCACGACAGAGCCTCTAACCACTTAGCGTCCGAGGCCTTGAGCGGCCCAACTCAACTGGGCTTGTTAGGGCCACCGCAAAAAGCAACCATTAGTCCCCCAAGTCAAAGCCCAGCGGGAGGGAATACAGTACTTATAGTGGCACATTACGTAATCCGTACCTATATACCTATATACCTAGGTACCTTAGGTAGGTAACTTACAGACTCGCAGAGTACAGGCGAGACAACACCGCCCGAATACAGTTTCACATAGCTCCAACTTCATCCATCACCAGCTATTCCATCCCTGTCGTCAGTTGGCGTACATACAAGACATCGACAAAGTAGGTATGCAACATTATACCTGAGTACTCCTTAGCCAATATTGACCCATAAATGCCTACCTACCTTTTAGTACCTACCTAGGGATGGATGGTTAAACATTGGGCCTTCCTGAAGTGTCCTCCTGCATTAGACCTACATTCCTCCTTTGGGCATTCTCTACGTGAGCTTCAACGAATGATATCACTTCCTCAGTGCTCAGCGGCAGCCTGTTCAGGTATGGGCTTAACTACCTAACTAAGTTAGGAACTCACAAACAACGGTGATCATCCTCCACAAGATCGACCCTAATCAGACGGGTCTATCTGTCTATGAACATACTACAAACATACCTACCTCATGCCAGCCGTTTTAAAAATAGGCAATTTCTTGGACACAGGCAGACAGTGAGCCAATTAGATCATTGACCAATCAAGGCATTGCTTCGACTTCCAGGTGCATGCATGTCCGGATGTTTCCATCTGCAAATTCATCCTTACATACCTATAATATCATACTGTCTTTTCTACATCATAATAGCGGTATCGCGGGGGAATCTGGTTATAATTATCTGCTGTGTAAGAATCGACAATCCTCCTGTTAATCTCAGAGTCTGTCAATTCTATGGAGAGACATTTCCTGATAACTGAGGTCGTATGCTGTCGAGCCAGGGTTCCCTGAAACTGACACGACGGCGTTTTTCCATCGTTAACTACATATGCGCTGCTAAGCCGGAGCGTATAATGTCTGCCACTATCTTTAACTAAAAGAGACCTTTCCTCAATTCCGAGAAACTCATTGGAATGTCGGGTCTATCTTGAGGTGGTTTCTTACCGCCCTTGCCGAGTGACTCCTGATGGCTAAATCAACAATTCTGTAGATATGATTGGGATAGACTGGACTGGACTAGGTATTTGCCTGCTCAGAAACAATGCCTTTCTAGTGTTTTCGGCAAATTTGACAAGATCCGCTTCCTGGTGCTCTACGCGAGTGGGAAGGAAACGGATAAGGAATAATTGTCCCCCACGGTTCGGTACAGTCCCACACCGAGTGAGCGACCTGAAACATCGCCGGGATGTCGACAATGAACAACATCGTAACCCCGTTTCTTGAGTAACTATCCCAGCACCTTTCTCACCTTTTCCCGACCATCTCCAGGACTCCAACGACACAACACATGGGCTCCCACGAATCGAAGAGGTCCTGGCCCAACTAGGAAAGGACTAGCTGTCAGCTCTTCTATCTATGCATGTATGTACAAGTATGTGTGTATGTGTGTGCACGGATATGTTCTCTATCTTTGTTACTCGAGCCATCAATCGTGGGAGCTGCAAGCTACTGCAGGTGCTGTTTCAGGACAAGCTGAGGTCAATCGTTCTGGTCAACCCTCCCCCCCCGTTCATCGTGTCAAGCAGCGTGGCAGTCTTGATCTGACAGCTGCTACGCAGTCGACCATTTCGGCCGAAAGATTTAGGTCGAACTTCGGACCCTATTGCTCTACCTCCTGGATATATCGACGACAAGCATGTCGACTGGAAGCGAGACGGTGAAAGCTCTCAATCCCGTTTAGTCGTGCGTTAAGCTAGATGCATCTGGGTATCGCAGGTCGGCGTTGTCTTCGAGATACTGCATCCATTTCTTCAAGAAGCTGCTTCCCCTGTGAAACAGGCACGTCAATAATGTCTCGTCTCAGGTGAATGGTTGGAACAATCTGCGCAGCACTTGTCAAACCAGCGGCTGCAGCTGAGAGGCCCAGGTCCCCATCCCAAGTGCACTGCATCATCGCTTACCTCTGAACTGTCTCTGAGTCTCCAATAACCGTCAAAGAACGCTTCGGGCGTGTCATTGCGACTAAGTACACGTGTATTAGCTAACTCAATCTTTTGATGACGGTAAGCATCGGGATGTCACCCCACCGTTGAGACGGCGCTTCTCGCCGAGGAATCCAACCTCGCCCTCAGAGTTGCTCCGAACGAGGCTCACGATTACGGCCTCTTTTTCGCGACCTTGAAAGCCATCAACACTACCGAGCTCGATGCCCGGGAATTTGTCCTTCAGCGGAGCTAGTATGGCGAGCTTTTAGTCCGCTCACAGTCAGCATACGCCTGTCTCACTCGACATTTTGGGACGTACCTGGGCATTGTAAGGTGTCACGACAGCTATATCTTCTGGGCGGACCCCGGCACCCACGAGTTGCCTCACGTGCTGTTGTACAAGAGCAGCCTCCATCTCGTTGCTCTTGCTGTCACCATGCAAACCTGCTCTGCCCTTTCTAGGAGTCTCCTTGTCGTCTTCTTCGTTCTTTTCGGGAAAGTCGCCTCCCTGTGTATCTATGAAGATGACAGGTTCATTGGTGTCCTCATTGTCCTGAACCTCATATTCAAGGTCCTTCAAGAGGCGATGTTTCACCGCATCAGCAGCGATCAGCTTAGAGTCGTATAATTCATCAGAAGGGAACCGCATAATACTCTCGTGCATTCGGTACTGGGTGGTTAGCATGCGTTTGATGGAGGGCCCGTGCAATGCCAGCAGTCTGTCAAACAAGGTGATCTCAAGCGTGATGCCCTTTGTGACTGTTGTGCCGTCTTTGACTGGCGCCTTGACCTTTGCATTGCTTGATTTGATGGTTGGCGGGAGCTGCAGATGGTCACCGGCACAGACAACCTTCTTAGCAGATACGAGAGGGACCCAACACTGGGCCTCCAGGGCTTGGCTGGCCTCATCGATGATAACAACATCAAACTCATCGTTCCGCAGCTGATAGCCTCCTGCCCCATGCAGTGTTGCAAGAACGACCTTGCTGCCGCCAATCAGTGTACTGACGCAGCGACGTTCTCGTTCACGAAACTCTTTTCTCAGTTCTTTGAGGTCAGTGTAGATTGCTTTGCGCTCCTTGCCGCTTTTCGTCTTCTTGATCGAGGCCTGCTTGGTGTCCATTTCTGTCCTGATATCTTTCACAATAGCACCCGCTTCTGATGTATGCGTGAGTACGTCGAGCGAGTGGTCAACCACGGAAGGAAGCAAGCGAGCGGGATGGCCCAGGCGAAGGATCGGGATTTTGTGAGGAGCTAGTCGCTCGACGATGTTGTCAACAGAAATGTTGGAAGGCCCGCAGACAAGAATTCTTTGCCCCAGTCTGATCATCTGGAGAATCAGCTCGATCAGAGTATGAGTTTTGCCAGTCTACGCATAAACATGTGAGCAAGTGTTTTCCACTCCAGTATACGTGAGTTACTCACTCCCGGGGGCCCGTGAATCAAGGCGACTTCTCGAGACAGTAAAGCGAACCGAATTGCATTCTTTTGTGAGTCGTTGAGCGTTGGATCAAACCACTCGAGATTACCCACGGTTTCATCTTTAGATAAGTCTTGGGAAACTGGCGATGGACTGGATAAGCCGAAGAGAACTCTGATGAAGCTAGAATATTCCGACTCTTGCATCTTGTTTAGCTTCTCCATCGCCCAATTCATTCTTCAAAGGGAGATGGTTAGTTAATGGTGTGATCGCTGTCCGTTATGAAGGTGATGGCTCAACATACCTCTTGTATGTCACTTCGTCTGCCAATTTGACAGCCCATACTCTGCCCAAGAAGCCAACTTCTTCCTTCCCCTCATCGACCGCAACAGCAATCCATCCTCTGTTCACTCTGGTAACAACTCCTCTTGCCCCCTTCTTCTCCAAGTCCTTTACTTCACGCTTTTTGGCGCTTCCCGCCGGCTGCTCAGCGACAAGAACAATGTCTCCAGTGCGTAAGCCATGCTCAGGTAATTCGTCAGGTGAGCCCGTGGCGGCATCCGGAGAGAGCTCGAGAACTGTTCGGCCCCCAAGACCAGTACGCTGGTCCGAGACAACGAGGTTCGTAAGAGCAAGACCAGCTCGTTGAAGGGCTGTCGGGCTGTGGTTGGAGATGAGTGTGCTCGTCTCGTTGATCTCTGTCTGAAGTTCTTGTTCAAGAAGAGCGAGTTGAGTGGTTGCAAAGGCAGAAATGTCGACTGGTTCTCTTTTGACAGTCATTATTACCGACCTTTGTGTGTTGTTGCAGATGTAGAATAAGTGTAAGACCTGAATATGAGGTGGGGATTGGATCCAATGTTTGGTGGGGAGCTTCCATGGTCAGACCCCGCCATAACCCGCTCTGACGTTAGTTGTCTGACTACAGGTACTAATTACTGGTACTCGTGGATCAGACCAAAATACCAAGTAGGTACCTTGGGCGAAGTCATGATGCTTCCTACCAGGTATCATAAGGGTTCAGACGTGCCCAATTACGTATAAAATTAAACTGGCAGTAATTCGTGTCCCCCACTTCAGATATTTTGTATATACCCCAGCCAAAAAAAAAAATACGAATAGAGCTCAACATTCAAATACTCCTTTGGTATCAAGTCATGATGTAAACCCCCATAAATGCGCCGCGTCAAAAGCAAACCACCTTGCGATAAGCAGAAATATTATCGCTGCAGCGCGAACAATGCAATGCTAGAACTAGAAGTGGCCTTGATTCATGCCAGAGTATACTACGAGTCAAGTCGAAAAATCATAGCTCATGCTCAGACGGGTGGATAGCGATGACGACCACAAGAGAAACAACCATGATGGCCAAAGCGACAAACGCAACAATCATGATTGTGCCGCGGCTAGCAGGAAACTTTCCCTGCATGACCCAGTGCTGAGATTGAAAATAGCGTTTATAGCCAAGGAAGAGAATCAGTATACTGATACCGAGGAACGTGGTCCCAAGCGGCTTGCCCATATGTCGTAGTGTCTGGGCATTGCTCCGAGAGTTATTGCCATGCTCGCTTTCGAGAGATGTATTGAGACGAAAGAGCTGTGTCACTGCTATCCCTATGGATGCAAAACTGAGAGATGTGCGTAGCCATGCCAGAAATGTTCGTTCTTGTAGGCTGTTAGATTGGTAACCCAAGTACCAAGGGTGAAGCTTACCGATGGCGAGGTGATCACGAGCGACGCTGCCTTTGTTCTCCAGCTCTATCGACTGAAACTTCTCTGCCTGACTTTGCCACCACGATATATTCCCACTTTCCGAATTCGCTTGTCGAGTCGTCTCTGGGTTCTGGGCAGCGCCATTGTTTTGTTGGGAAGATGGTCGCTGGCGTAAGGATGGTTTACGGATCTGTGGGGCCGAGGTCGCGGTACTTGTAACATTCAGCGAGTTGTAATTGAGAGGCGGCGTAGAAGATATGAAGCCAGTAGCCTCGTCGGCGCTGCTGTCCTCGTGGACAGGGCTCGGCCTGAGCGACGAGTTGGGCGGAAGGATGGGACTGCCGGCGGTCCGGGGTGAGAGATGGGTAGGAGAAGGACCAGCCATTGATTCGGCGCGTTCACGAGCGTTCTGTTACGAGGAAAGGTTGCTCTTATTAGCGCTCACTCAACATTGGGGTACTGTACTCGGGCGAGGGATGCTGAGAGGAAGCGAGAGAGAAGAATAATGAGGAGTAGGAGAGCCAGAAGAGCACGCGAGATTCGGATGATCTTTCGGAGGCTAAGGTCTGGATGTCGAGCAGGGGGCCGGCAGTTTCCCAGGCGCCACAAAGACCATCCATCTCCGTGCGGACGGCGAGATAGATAGTCGACCACATGCATGCATGTTGATAGGTATCTACCAGGACTGGTGCCAGCCTGAAGTGCTATCGGGCTTGCAAGGAACAGAACATCATAAGAACATGGCTGTACCGCACACTGTCTCATGAATCACCCGTGCCGTGCCGTGTCTCGCTCACTTGCTCACTTCACAAGAACAGGAGGGTACACACCTCAAGTATCTCATTTATGCGCGCATTGGAGGATGAATGCTGTCCTAGTTGAAACCCGACACTTGAAGCTCGTGGGGCGGGGCCATTCGCATTTGAATCTGCATTGGCATCTGCATCTAGAGCATTCTCGGCCATCACGAGATCAGCACGATCGATTGATTGGCGAGAGTCAAGGGGCCTGGTGAGAATAGAACGCGGCTATGCTGTACTGCGATATAGAGTTAGGAACAGACGGAACAGTTCTAGTACGATATGGCGAGCGAGCGAGCGTGCGTGTTTTCCAACGTTGATAAGGTGATTGATTGTAAAGTCAAAGACACATTTGAGGTCAAGACAAGCTTAGTCTGAGGTCCTAGTACAGCCCCCAACAACTACCGTGGCCTCCCACAGTGGGGTTGTCGCCTGTGACAGGCGCTCCGTACCCTTTCAGCGGCTGAAGCACCTGTATTTCCATTGGATGACACCAAATTAAGCAGAAGCACGTCATGGTGCTAGTGGAGGGAAGCAGAATGACGATGGTGAGACCAGAGCTACTAATACAGGTCTGAATACCTTCACTTGACACGTTTGAGCCAATCCTTGATACCCTGTGGTCTTTCTATAGCTGTGAAATTATCATTGATCGGAGTCTTTTGCTGAATCTCCAACACAGTCTGTTGGTCAGAAGACACAACAGGCACCGTCATATGATCATTCTATGGTAGTTCATCTTATACCCGCTGATACTTACTATTACGATTGATCGTCTTCCTTGTCTTATGTATAAAGATAAACGGGCCAGTTTGTCCTGGATGCTCTACCTATTCCACCTCCTGACATTAAACATGGTGTTGCATTAACGATCCCGTGGAGTCCTTGAAAATGCCTCATGGCATTCCCTCTCATGCCTGGAACACACACTCACAACTCACTACCTGACCATAGTATATAGGTAGACTCACATAGTAAGCCAACTCCTAGTGGCTCTTGTATCTCCGAGTCCTGTTCTATACACTCTCCCTTCTTCGGGTCTATGAAATCGCAAACTCCGGATCTGACTCTCCACTGCCGGCATTTCGCATCCGAATCGTTTTCCTATTTAGGAAACCAATCCAATGCCCTACTGGCTGACTCTGTTACCTCGCCGGTTTAATTCCGGAATCTGCTCTTACAACCGTGTAAGAGAACCACGATGGCATCATGGAGAAGCAATAGAGCTGGGAAAAGATGGTGAATTTCTAAGAGGAATAAATTATTTAAATACAGAGATTAAGTAGCTCGAGAGACACTGTTTCCTCATCGCATCAATTCGCATCATACTGTTCTAAACAACTTTCTCTCCAACAGATACCTGTCTTCATCTTCCCTACCTATATACATTACTTCCACTTCCACCAAACTCATCATGGTTCACCAAATCCTCGGCAAGCAGGTTGGCCCTATCGGCTTTGGTCTCATGGGTACTCATCCCCCTTGATGAACCACACCTTCTTATTGTTACTATGCTAACGACTCCCAAGGCCTGACTGCACGTCCTCTACCTGACGAGGACGCTTTCGCCGCCATTCGCACCGCCCTTGACTCGGGTTGTAACTGGTTCAACGGTGGAGAGTTCTATGGACCTCCTGATGCAAACTCACTAGCTCTCATGCGCCGATACCTTGACAGGTATCCAGAAGATGCTGATCGAATTGTACTCACCATCAAGGGAGGCCTGGGCCCTAACTACGTTCCTCTCGGGACCAAGGAGAATATCCGCCGCAGTATCGATGACTGCCTCGAGACCCTGGGTCCTGTTGGTCGGATAGCTTCCTTCGAAATCGGCCGCAAGGACCCCAATGTTGACTACGAGGAAGACACTCTGGCAGCAATCAGCGACTATGTCAAGGATGGCAAAATCGACGGCATCTCGTGCAGCGAGCTCAACGCCAATACACTCCGAAGTGCTGCAAAGAAGTTCAAGATTACTGCACTCGAGATTGAGCTTTCATTATTCACCACGGACCCCCTGACCAACGGCCTGCTCGAGGTTTGTGGCGAACTTGACATCCCAGTTCTTGCTTATTGTAACTACTCTACTCCAATATCCCGGGAAGTGGCATCTTCACTTACACAGAATTCTAGCACCCCTAGGACGAGGTTTCCTTGGAGGCCAGATCAAGTCTGTCGAGGATCTTCCAGAGAATGACATGCGTGCCAAGATCCACCCACGCTGGCAAGGCGACAATTTCCGCAAGAATATCCAGCTGGTTGATGATATCGAAGCCCTTGCAAAGAAGAAGGGATGCACGGTGAGCCAGATCGCCATCAACTGGCTCTTATCACTCTCTCGTCGCCCTGGGATGCCTACGATCGTGCCCATCCCTGGCTCTACCAAGCCTGGCCGTATCCGCGAGAACGCGACAATCATCGATCTTACAGAGGAGGACTTGCGCGACATCGACACGCTACTTGCATCTTTCACGCCTGCCGGTGACAGATATCCGCCTCAACACATGAAATACGTCAGTGCTTAGGAACAAATATTGCGGAGTAGGATTATGGTACAAATTGGAGGCGACACATCGGATAGTATTGGATATGTATTTTGTAAACCAGTTTAACACCATCGTCTCCGCCTCTGAGACTTGACTTGGCCCAACATCTTTGCCTATGGTACAAATCTGGGTGTGCATAAGAGGGTGTTGGACATACCTATAAGACATTTTAGAGTTGGTAAATTCTTGTATATGCATTCATACAATCAGTCATGGAGTCATTGTCCTCGTATGAAGGTCGTTTCAAACAAGCCCAGAATAACAACACTTTGTCCATCAGACGACCAGATTGACCGGCACGGGATAAGTGCCACTTGGCTTATATCTCCGAGGTTGTTCCATATGGAGACAATTTGAGACGCATCTGCATACACCAAAGCCAATTTGGTTTGTATCGTTTCTGGCCCATGAGGATGGAGTTCATGGAGTGATTCCTGCATGATTTTGCACATATCAATCTTCAAGATGTCCAGGGAGGCAGAATGAAGCCTATCAGCATGATAATATGCTGCTGTACTGTAGATTACAGTAGCACTTGTGGTTGTGACGACTGAATGCCATGTTTTCCAGCCTGGAAGCGTGAGCTCGGGCAAGACACACATCGAAAAACTCGCCTCTTCAATTCTTGAAAGGCCGTTGTGAGCGTGCCACTCCACAGCAGCCTGCCGTGGTAGCTCTTCCACTTCAGCAGCAAACATAGGCGGGATACAAGTCTCAGGCTCATTCTGTTGACGTAGAGTCAGTGCCTCCCAGTCCGGAAGGGCCTTTCGGGCTATCTTGTCATCGTTACCAAGTGACATGTAAGCAGGGTTGTATTTCAAGTCCCAAAGATCAGGACCGTTATCACCGTCCACCTCCTCATCCGGGGATCCGTGTGCCTGTTTCCAAGCATACCCTGCCAGCTGGGCGCTCCTCTGGATTTCAGACGAGTTGGCACGAGGAAAGTAAGCAACTGAGCTTGTCCACCATTGGATTTTCATCTCCTGACCAATTCGCCACAAATGTTGCAGAGATAGGACAATTTGAAGCTCATGCGGCTTCTCAGGCGTGGAAGGGAGGTCCATTGTTGCTGGAATTAAGGGTATTTGACCGGCAATGGAGATGCACCGAAGACCTGTAGGCTGGCCTTGAGCTGTCACGGGCACGTCTATCGCCTGACTGTATGGGCCAATGTTTGCAGGTGCCCAGTACGACCTGGACTGGACATGGAGACCATTGCGGTCCTGCGTCGCTCGAGGTGTAGGAGCAGCTAAGGAGATGGCAATATTCACACCAGCCGGCAGAAGGTCACCACACGAAATGGTCACCCGCGACGGTGGGTTTGGCTTGGTGAATATCTTGCCGTACTCCCCATTGACCTGAGGAAAGTCTGACATGCGCCTTAATATGACGATAGTACTTGTGATCTGAGAAAGTTGAACACCGGCCCCTGACACCAAATCTCTGATCTTCTCTACGACCTGGGCGGTTTCATTCTGCATAGACATTTCACCCAACCCCAGGTCTGGAAGTACGGACCAACGCAGTATCTCGCTATCGGTAATGGAGGTTACTGCATCTTGGGATAGTAACGTCAAGCAAGCCTTTGCGGCTTTCAACTCGTTCATGGGTTGCGGCAGGTCGTCAAATACAGTCTTGAAGCGAGGATCGAGGAGATTGGGAATCCGAGCTGCTGGTTTGGCTGTAGCATCATGCTTGTCTTCTAACAGTGCGCCACTCAGCATTAGCCAGGAGCAACCACCTCCTTCACGCACTATCCTACGCCCTTGTTCCGGGATAATGATTCGCTTCTTAAACACGGAAGATGGGCCGTCCAAGACGAGTGACTCGAATTCGCCACCTTCTCCTAGGGCTGCCGCACCTTGAGCTGAGCCAAACTTGCGTAATGCGTTCTTGACACGGCTCGAGCCTGCTTCGCTTGACACACGTTCCCAGAGATGGTTCTCGTCTAATCCAGCACTGGCAACCTTGATGATCCGTGCCTCTAGTCCAACATTGGCCATATCAATCAACAACTGGGTATCAGCTGAGATGTCTGC